CCCCCCATTGCTATGGCCGCCCCCTGCTGTGCCCCGCCCGTGCCCCATGGGGAGGCCTCAGGGCTGCTGTCCCAGAATAAAGGAGATTGGGGTGCCCTCCCGCGAGGGGACCTGGGTGGCATCCCGGGGGTGGGGGGCTAAAACGAGCGGGGAGCCTGGCAGGGCCACGCAGGTGGCAAGGAAACAGTGTGGGCGTCAGCCACGAAAAGGTGGCAGCCTGCGCGTTTCACGTCGGTTCCTGTCACTGTTCGCAGCTTCTCTACGATGAGCGGCGCGGCTGCCCCGGGCCTGGAAGGCAGGGTCCGGAAAACACTGCGAAAGGTTTTCGGGTTTGAGTCCTTCAAGACTGCCCTGCAGGAAAGCGCGACCATGACCGTGGCAAGAGGTGAGGCTGCGCATTGGAAAGCTGTGAAACACGTCTGGTTTTCCGTCTTCCTGTGAGGGTGGTAGTGCCGGAGTTGAGGAGCTGCTTCGCCTGGGCTAGGCAGGACCACCCGGCCGTCCAGGCCCTCCTCTGCTCCGAGATCGTTTTACTGGTGCAGGAGCACGAGCGTGTGCTGCACACAAGCTCTGTGAGCACGGCTCTGTCCTGCCTGGTCTCCTTTGCATTTGTTTTGTAACCCCACTATTGCATCAACCAGAAAATGGGAAACCTTTTCTTGCTGGTGTTTCCATGGGAGGCAGCTGCCGGCATGTTTATGGTCGGATGAGGTCAGTGCTTACACGTTTTCAGGGTAAACTTGTCCTTGTTGTAGACGATGTTAGAGCTGATTCCAGTAGAAGCAGCTTGACTTCCTGGTGTGGTTTATACCTGTTCTCTGAATCACGTGGCCATTATCAGAAACGTGATTTTGCTGGTGTTAACACCGCTGCTGGTTGGACGGGCAGCGCCTGCGTACAAGCTGCCAGCCGTTGGCTCTCCTGGCAGGTCTCGCAGCCTCAATCAGGGCAGCGGCAAACTCCGCACTCCAGATACAGCTGCAGTTTTCATCTGTCACCGGTAGCTGTGCAGATGAGCTGCTGACAACCGAGCAGCCCAACGCGGGGTTCTGTCAGCAGGGTGCCTCTGCCTGTTCACATCGCCTGCATCTCCCTGGTTTGAAGTGGATACTGCTCAGTGGTGACAGTTACTAACTGCGTGATATTATCTGTGTGGTTGAGATTTCCAACCCGTATTTCTTAGCAGGTACACTTTTAGGATAAGCTTTAATAGGATGTGGTAAAGATCTGTCATGGGGCTGGTAATTTGGTAACTGGAGGTCTGTAAGAGGAAACAAAACAGCGCGTCTGGACGAGAACAAGCATGAAAAACTTGTTTAACTTTCCTTTATCTTGGTTTCTGTGTGTCTTCTGGTATTTCTGTAAGGCTGTTTCTAAATGTTTACAAAGCAATCAGAGATTCTTTGAAGGAAACCACTGCAGGCATGCAAAGTATTGCTAGGCTTTTAGAACCTAAAATGAAGTGTCTTGTGTTGGTATGCCACACGGTACGCACACGCATATGCTGTTTCTCGCAGGTTACAAGCCATTGTGCCCACCCCTCCAGACAACTCGCCACCACTCAGTAGCCTTGAGCTTTCTTCTGTTGTCTTTGCAGGCGAGAAGGATGTCTTTGTATGCATGCCCACAGGGGCAGGGAAATCCCTGTGCTACCAGCTTCCTGCAGTTCTGGCAGTGGGCATCACCATTGTCATTTCACCTCTGATTGCACTGATTCAGGTAACTGTCTCCTGTTAGCGGTGGAAAAGCAGTCAGTGAAGGGGGTCGGGAGATGCTGGAGGCACAGCTGCTTCTTGTCTTTCTGTCCACGACTCTCTGCTGTTGGCCTGCCTTTGGATTCTCATCTTGATGTCTCAGTGTGTTTTGTTTACCCTGGTGAGAGGTGAAGAGGCTGTGACTCTCGGCTGTGGCGGAGAGAGTTGGGCTTGTTCAGCCTGGACAAGAGAAGGCTCGGGGGAGACCTTATAGCACCTTCCAGCACCTGAAGGGGCTACAAGGAAGCTGGGGGGGACTTTTTACAAGGGTCTGCAGTGACAGGACAAGGGGTAACGGGTTTAAATTGAAAGTGGGGAGGTTTAGAATAGATATCAGGAAGAAGTTCTTCCCGGAGAGGGTGGGGAGGCACTGAGACAGGTTGCCCAGAGAAGCTGTGGATGCCCCATCCCTGGAAGTGTCCAAGGCCAGGCTGGATGAGGCTTGGAGCAACCTGGTCTAGTCGAAGGTGTCCCTGCCCATGCCAGGGGGTTGGAACTGGATGATCTTTAAGGTCTCTTCCAACCCAAACTGTTCTGTGATTCTATGACTGAGCTGCAGAGCAGTGTAACTCTGGTGTGATGCCATGCAGTTCTCCAAAAGGAGGTTTTTCCTCTTTAATAGTAACGTGGTGGGTTTCAGAACTGAGCCTTTCTCCATTTTCACCAGTTGCGCTATGCAGAAGCATCAGAGTACCTCAGATGGCCCAAAGAGCATCTTTCCCTGCAAAAGAACTGCCATTTCACCTACGAAGTAGTAACTCTGGGGCTGATGAAGCTGCCTTTGAATTTGTTCTGCATCAAAATGTCTTTTTGTTGCCGTCAGTCTTTCTGTCATGGAAAGAAGCTGGTTTAGCAGACCTGCTCCTTGAGCGCTTTCATCTGAGAGACCTTTTTGTTTTGTATTTTGCTTTTTCTACTGTCTCATCACCTGTGGGGAGAAACACCTCCCTGGAAGAGCAGCTGTAGCATGGCCCAGACTTCTGTAAAGCCTTAGATTAACACTGCATGATGTCTGCTGTTGGTGGCTGCTGTTTTGGGTTTTGTGGTGTGTTTTTTTTTTAACTACTGTACAGTCTTAATGTAATACACTTTAAGAATTAAGAGCAGGCTTGGTGATACCCCTCAGAAAGGTGCTATAAATAGTGCATTTGTTCCAAGTGAGAGGATTTCTAATTAAGCTCCAGCACAGGCAAGATTTTATCGGTGAAATGGAGGTTAAAAAAGTTACCTCTGTAAGATTGGTAGGTGATGCAGAATGTGTCAGAGTGACAAACAGGTTGAGATGGGCTCAGCAAGTCTTAGGGAAGAGAGATGGAGTGAACCCTCAGAGGTCTCGTCAAGCCCTGAAATGGTCATGAAGTATTTCAGTGCAGCCAAACTTCAAGAGCTTCATCTGTGTAGTCTCGTTGACTGTGTAAACAGGAACCAGTGGATATTAAATCCATCACTGAACCCAGTTATTGAGTGAAATAACGAGAAATCCATTTCTCAGGACTCTTTCTATCTTCCGAACTGTTATATGCTAGTCAGGTGCAAGTGAACAGCTCAGTGTGGGGATAGAGAGCGGAATGTGTATGCCCAGGGTTCACATGGATGTGTTGCCACGTTTTCTTCTCGGTCTTCATGGCATGATTCTCATCCAGACTTCTTTCTGTTGCAGTGGCGACTTGCATGATTTTTGTATTTCGTCCTGTCTCAGCTGTGTTTATAACCACTTTAGCTATTTTGGAATGAGGTGCGCTCTTACAGGGCAGTGGTGTTCGTTTTCCAGCTGTGACAACCTGGTAGTGTAAATCCCGGGACGCGTTGGTGGCTTGTTTCGGCTTGCTGTGGCTACGATGAGTTATTTTGCACAGACGCCTGCTGGTGTTCGTTCCCTAGCAGAAATACCTGGGAAATGTTCCCTGTTCGTTCCCTAGCAGCAGAAAAGGCTGCCCTAAAGTGAACGGATGCGGAAAAATGCAGTTGGATGTTAGAGCTGGGCAGCTCTGCTCGCAGTGGAAGATGGATTCTAGAGTTGAAGTTCTGAATACCCAGACTGTAGGTGTGTGTTGTCCTGAGCCTCGATCCTGCAGATGGAAGTTGGGGCCTCACCTGGATCTCCCTAGTAGTCTTTCTTGGTGATAGTGACTCTCTTTACAGCCATTTGCTTTTCATTTAATTCTAATTTTGTTATTTACTCTAGGATCAAGTAGATCACTTGCTGGCTCTGAAGATCAAAGCCTGCTCTCTGAACTCCAAACTTTCTGCCCAGGAAAAGAAGACCATCCTGGCTGACTTAGCAAGTGAGAAGCCCCAAGTAAAGCTCCTGTACCTCACCCCAGAGATGGCAGCTGCCTCGTCCTTCCAGCCTACGCTGAACTCCCTGGTGTCCCGAAACCTCTTGTCCTACCTGATAATCGACGAAGCGCACTGCGTCTCCCAGTGGGGACACGATTTCCGACCTGACTACCTGCGGCTGGGCACCCTGCGCGCTCGCATACCCAACACGCCGTGCGTTGCCTTGACTGCCACTGCCACCAAGCAGGTCCAGGAGGACATTGTGGCAGCGCTTAAGCTAAAGCAGCCACTTTCCACGTTTAAGACTCCTTGCTTCAGGTCTAACTTGTTCTATGATGTGCAGTTCAAAGAGCTCTTGACTGATCCATATGCCAACTTGAAGGATTTCTGTCTGAAGGCGCTTGAAGTGAAGAACGCGACTGGGGTAGGCGAAGAAGGAATAACTGCCCAAAATCTACCTTAGTGGTCACTGCTCTTGCAGTGGCTGATACGGTCCCAACAGGCCTGTGGCAGGGAAGGGGGAGGTCCCTGGAAGGAAGGTGCTCATGTGTATTTTTAAGTTCCACCTCAAGTGCTCACATATGTTTTAGAGTTCCTCTAAAGTAGGTGGAACGTGGAGGCGGCATACAGAAAGGAGGTGGTCTGAAAGAAAGTGGATTGGGAATATGCAACTAGCATTTCTCTCCTGGTTTGTCATGTCCCAAGCAATCATCATGTGTTTGGTTGTGTTCTGATCTCCTGGTGTGGTGAGGGTGCGCAGAAGCATTTGGAGTGTTGTATTGAATTTTCTGCAACTCTCAGCAACTCAGTTATAGCCTCCTCACCTGAGTGCGGAGCATAAGGTGGAGAGAGACTGCTTCTTGCTTTGTGCCTACTGGGGGAGGACTGGGTGGGACCATATTCGGTTGATCTTCGACCTTGTAGGTCTTGTTCTCTGATTTATGCCGTAGAGTATCTTTCAGTTGCCGGGGAATCAGCTCGGAGAAGAGACAAGCTCTAGGCATCCCTCCTGTATCACCATACTAGTGACTGCAGCTTTGTTGCTTGGCTTCAGTGTCACGGCCCTTCTCTCCTGTCTGCCCAGGTGTACTCCGGTTGTGGCATCGTGTACTGCCGGATGAGGGATGTGTGCGACCAGCTGGCTATTGAACTGAGCTACCGAGGAGTGAAAGCCAAGGCGTACCACGCAGGTACTGGAAGCTGCATCTAAAGTAGCTGGTAGAACTGTCCTGTACCACCTTTAGGGCCTGGGTTGGGGCTACCTAGAAAACAGGTTTCGAGGCGTGCTGTGCAGCGTGTCCGATGCTCACGCGTCAGGTCTGTGAGGTAAGTGTGGGGCCTTCAACAGAATGGCGTTCCCTTCACTCCAGAACTGTTGGTTTTGTTGGATCTTGCATGGCCTAAATATAACAACTGCTTTTATCCCAGGAGGGATCTAAATTTTCCTCTTTGGAATAGAAACAGCTGTTGCTGACTTCTGCTTGATCGCAGGCCAAGTTAAACAGGGGCAGAGAGGAGTGTACATCAGTCGGTTTTAGCGAGGGGGTTGTCTCGCAGTGAGGGAATGGAGGAGGAAGAAAATCCCCTTATTTCTTTTCTTTTTTTCCCTTTTTGTTGTTTCCTTCCTTCTTTTTCATTCCCAGGACTCAAGGCAGCTGACAGGACTTCAATCCAGAATGAGTGGATGGAGGAGAAGATCCCAGTTATTGTGGCAACCATCAGTTTTGGAATGGGAGTAGACAAAGCCAACGTCAGGTGTGTAAGGCTGTGTTGTGCACCACCAGAGCCCGAAACCTGAGCAGTGGGAAGGGAAAGCCTCAGTCTCTCTGTTACCTGGTACCTCTGGCTAAAATGCCTGATGAACACCTGCTAACACCCACAAAAACAAAGATGGAGGGTTTGGGGTTTTTGTCTTAGAAGCAGCAAAAACAAACCTGTAAAGAAATTAAAAACAAGGCACCAGAGCCAGTCATTTTCAAAACCAAGAAAATTGGAGGAATGCTTGTTTTTTGCCACAGCCTCCAGGGTTTCAAAAGGAGCCGTGTCGATGCACAGTTGTCCCTTTCACTTCTCTGGATGCAATAGTTGCTGTTAAAAAGCAGTGGGAAGAAAATCTGCACGTAAAATAATTCATACGCCCTCTACTAAAATAGTCAGAGCTGTATTTTTTTAGATAGCTCCTTTTGCAGTGCAAGGGGAGAAAAAGAGCAGTTCACAAATGGCAATAACCATATGAAAAATACAGCTGTAGCCCAAGGACAGAAGCTTTGCACGTGCTTTCAACTGCTGTTCCTCTGGGACTTCTGTCCCCATAATTGCTCTGCGCTGTTGGAATTCCTGCACCGCAGTAGAGCTGTGCCAGGTCAGTTCTGTGCGCTGCAATTGCTTAGTGGAGGGATAACTCGGGTGCAGCTCGCGACGTCCCACACAGACCAGATCTTTAGGCTAAAACCCACAAAAAGCAGTCACTCTGAACACCACGGGCGAGGGCTAGGACGTCACTGAGACAATCACACCGGTTCACAACTCTGCCATCCTGTGGCACTGTGCTGACAGGTAGTAACAGACTGTTTTACTGTTTGATGCGTGTTCCCCGACAGAGAGAGAAGTCTCCCAGGGCAGCGGCATGAATTAATGACCTGCTGAAAACACTCTGCCCTGCCCACTCCAGCAGCCAGTGAAAAAGGCAAGAGAAACAGAAGGGCATAGGGCTGACTGAAGGAAAGGTGGCTGGAAGATGCTTAATGGTTAGTTTCCAAGGAATCCACTTAAAATGACACTTTACAGGGTGTTTTTTCACAGTTTGAAAGACATTTTACCTGAGCCCAGGAAAGTGCTGCTTAGCCTTGCCCTGTGTTGGCAGAATTCAGAGTATTCATTCATGCATATGTTATCAAGTAAAATCAGGTCTGACAAGTTCTGGAGGTGACTTTTCTGGACAGCAGGGAAAACAAAGGTCTCTCTCTGATGGAATCTGCTGCTAATTCAGTTTTGTTTCAGATTGTTTATCAGTTCCTTCAGTAAACTTCCTGAGGGGGATTAGATGTGTAGGGCTCTGATGGTGCCTGCCTGGTCTGTTCCTGGAGTGTTTGTGTTTGGAGAACCATGTTTGCTTGCTTTTGTCATTTAATCTTTCGCCACACCCACCTGCCTCCTGGACACGCTGGTTTTGAGGCAGGCTGGTATTTACATCCTTGGCAGCACTACTGGAAAATGAAATCTTCTCAACAAAGGGAGAAGCTGCATTGCTGAATATTCAGGTACAAGCAGGTTTAAAGCAGTCTTGCAGTGGTGCGTGGAAAACACAGAATCACAGAATGGTTTGGGTTGGAAGGGACCTTAAAAATCATCTAGTTCCAACCCCCCTGCCATGGGCAGGGACACCTTCCACTAGACCAGGTTGCTCCAAGCCTCATCCAGCCTGGCCTTGGACACTTCCAGGGATGGGGCATCCACAGCTTCTCTGGGCAACCTGTCCCAGTGCCTCCCCACCCTCTCTGTGAAGAATTTCTTCCTGATATCCAATCTAAACCTCCCTGTTTTCAATTTATACCCGTTACCCCTTGTCCTGTCACTACAGGCCTTTGTAAAAAGTCCTCTCCCAGAACCCTTGTAGGCCCCCTACAGGCACTGGAAAGCTGCAATGAGGTCTCCTCGGAGCCTCCTCTTCTCCAGGCTGAACAAGCCCAGTTCTCGCAGCCCTCTCTCGTGTAACCTTCCTTCAGAGGTTACACGCAGTTTAGTAACGCTTCACAGTCGTATTTGATGGCTGAGGAGGGTGCCCTCGGTGACACAGAATTTCCCATGCAGACTTGGTTGGCCAAGGAGTGTCTTAGAGTATTGCAAATTGTGTTCTGCAGTGTTCAAATTGTGTCCCACAAAATAAGTAAGACTTTTTCTTTTATTAATGCTGTATTTTATGGTAAAGTCTCCCAAAGTCCTTAAATCCGTGTCCTCACTCTCACTCTTCATACAACTGTATACCCATTTGGGATATTCGTGTGCTTGTTCTTTTCCCTCCGTTTGGAGTGAGAATCCTGCTCTCGTGCCTTTGTTTTCTTACAGTTCTGCTGCTTGCTTTGTCTCAAAAGGACTTGAAATACCTGTGTGCCCAACCCCTTGCTCTGCAATGCTTTTGCTGTCCTAGTGGTGGTGTTGACGTCCGCCAACGCCGCAGCGTGCACAGTGATCTGAGAAACTGCAGCCTCATGTTCCCTCTTGTCTTAACACCTACAGATTCGTTGCCCATTGGAATATTGCCAAGTCAATGGCTGGATATTACCAAGAATCTGGCAGAGCTGGGAGGGATGGGAAGCCATCCTGCTGCCGCCTCTACTACTCACGGAATGACCGGGATCAAGTCAGCTTCCTGATTAAGAAGGAGCTCGCTAATATCCAAGTAAGATCTGCAGAATGATATCCACCTGCCTGGATACGCTGCTCTGCCCCGCGCGTGCACTGACCTCTGAATACACACAGATGAAGTGAGGTTTTCCGGGTCTGGCGTGGCTGTAGCCCTGTTTCAGGGGATAGCAGGGGTGAGGTGCTGCCAGCTCCAGCCCTGTTAGAGGCCTGGCCGAGCAGAAGTGCGGAGCAGAGACAGCCTGGTGTCTCTGCCTTTTTGCCATATTGACCAGAGGGTTGGATTTGGTCATCGCTAGAGTTTCTTTCTCTCTTCATACTTAAATTGAAGACTATAGTTATTGTTGTTCCCATCTACTTTCAGGAAAAAAAAGGCACCTTAAAAGAATCTGACAAAGCTGTGATGACATCTTTTGACGCCATTGTGAACTTCTGCGAGGAGCTGGGGTGAGTGCACATCTTACAAGCGCCGTTTCATGTTGGGGAAACCATGTCCTGTCCCTTCTGCGGCGTTGTGAAGGCTGAGAGCTTGTATGTCCAACAAAGAAAATACTGACTGAATCGCCTGGTATTTTGCTCTCTGGGCTGAGGAAGGTGTCCCTGAGACACTTCTCCCTTGCTCCCAGCTCTGAGTTAACTGAGATGTTGGTCTTGGAGCCTGACCAAGTGACTTGGTGATGTTAAACTCCTCTGGCTATGAATTTTACTGTGTTCTATCTTTGATGGGTTGGCTTAATTGCCTTTGCTTTTGTTTTGACTCTTCCTTTACTGCATCATCTTTCTTCTAAGGACACAAACAGCCTGATTAGCACAGGATGGAAGCATTTAGATTTAGTATTTCTCTAAATCTGGGGGGGCTCCACTCTGCAAAGAACTAGATACCCGTGATTCTCCTAGACCTTAGAAGGAGCTGGTGGTGCTTAGAATGTTTCAGAAACAGGCCCAAATTATGGACATGCCCAATCTAACTGCAGACCAGCAACCACAACATGCATAGTTCAGGTTTAGTTCATGACTTGTAAGCTGTAATCGCAGTAAGTGCTGTTTTATGCTGGACAAGATGTCCAAGCTGTAGTTTGCCAGTAAGAGATGAGTGTGTGTTCACTGGAAATGCTCAACATGAGTCTTGCTTTCAAGTCTGCATTTTGTTTCAGTTTTTACATCCACGTCTAGGACAACTTATTCGGTGTGTGTGTAATGCGCTGCTTTTCTGATGCCTCAGTGAGCAGCTCCGCTCCTCGTGGTCTTTTTTGGTAGACAAATCCTGCTTTTATGGGGTTGCCCTGGGAAGGTCTTGCTTGTACTGAAGCGCGGCACACTGAGTTCTGGGGCACTCGAAGAAGCACTTCTTTGCCCAAAGTCAAGGTGATTCTGGGAAGTAGCTACTAGCAGGCTTCTTGCTGCAAGAGTTTGATCCGCTTGCTTGGCTGGGGAGTGTTAGCAGCTCACAGCCGGAGCGGCCAGGTGGCTGTGTCTGGGTTTGGTATCATCTGGGAGGCAGCTGTATCCCTCTGGTTAGATGCTGACCTTGGGAAACCTTGTCTTGGTACCTGTCAGTAGACTTAGCTCTGGCAGTCACTTCTTGGAATGGACACTGGAGCTGTAAGAACTGGACTGGGATCACTGAACTGACCTTGCACAAGCCAGAAGTGGTCACGGGACATCCCAGGGTGGCGTCCCGGTGAGGGCAGGAGTTAGGCTGCGTGTGACCAACCTACAGCCTCTCCCACGTCATGCACACTGTGAAGAGCCTGGCTGCTACCTGAAGTCAGGACCTTCTCTAGGGTTGCACTGCAGCAGTGAGGCAGTAACTGAGCGGGGACAGAGCAAAACCATTCTCCTTTGCTTAGATGAATAGTAACGGAAATAGGATTTCACTGCATGCGTAAAAGAGAGATTTCTGTAAGGGAATATCACTGACCTAATTAGAAATCACGTCTCCCATACTTTTTCTTCCCTCCCCCAGCTCGGTACATTCTTCCTACTGTATGACGCGCCCTGAGCATCCCAGAGTGGCACGCTGCAGCACCACTGACTGGCCTCCCTGCTCGTAACTGTACAGGGGCTAAGATGCTACGTAAAGGAACACCATGTTGTATTTCTTTTGTACATTTTGAATTAATAGAGTTCTGTTCACTATCCAAACAGTGAAAGCAAACGGAAACTCTGACCTTGCAAGGTTCTAAATAAGAACAAAGAGAGACTTGGCAAGCAAGTGTTTGCGTGCTGTATTTAGGCTATTGTCCAAGTGTGGCAGGAGACAAATGGTCTAGGCTGCTTTTAGAGAGTGGGTTTAGGCAAAGCTTTTGCTGGTCAGAATTTCCTGTGGCCCACTTGCAAGATGGAAAAAAAGCCTCACGTAACTGCAGCCGCCAAAGACATCTTTATCAGTTTTAGGTGATGGCTGACCATTTGCCACCTCTAACCAGTGGTTTTGCTTGGAAGGTGAAAATCAGGCAGAGATGAGTTGGCTTTGTTATTTGGTTAGTTAGGCAGTTCCTGAATGCAGATGTACGGAGTTTGCTGTGGACTCGCAGAACGCCTTGCTGGCATTGGTGCATTGCTCTCGATGCAGGAAAAGTTGCATGGGGAGAGGAGATGAGAAAGCGTTCTATGAGCAACACAGTCGGGCAGTAGCTGGGCTGATTTTTGCTTAGCTGCAGGGCTCCAAGTATTGCATCTCAGCGTCACTGTGCACCACTCTCTGCCTCGGAGATGAGCAGCACCCGAAGATGGCAGCAAATAAGAGGAGAGCAGCAAAAACAAGGCAGAAGGTGCCGATCACCACTAGCCCTCCAAGAGCCCAATCACTTGTTATAATTAGTCTCTTTAGGTCTTCCAGAGCTGAGGATGTCTCTGGAACTGATGACATGCTGGTTTCTACCCTGCCGGAGGCAGACAAGAACAGTATCAGATGTTGTTGTGTCCTTTCTATGCTCTGAGCCACAGGCCTGGAACCAGTGTGGCAGGCGTGCTGTCTGGGCCTGCGGGCAACCCTGTTTCAAAAGGGAGAGTCTCCCTGCACAGAAATGGGAGCATAAACCAGAGGAAGGATAGCCGTGGCCAGTTTCACAGTCAGACCTACAGAGATATAAAGAGGAAAGCTGCTGGCTTTACAAGATTTTGACAGTTGAGATTTATTTCAAACGTAGCCTATCAATATTTTTAATAATATAATATGGTGCCTCTCCCAGCATGTTCAGTGTGACCCTTTAATCTGTCAACTGTACAGCCTGTACATGAAAGACAAATATTCAGTGGGAGAACTTGCTTGATACCATTGGAAAGATCCCTAAAAAGGAGTTGGCCACTTAAAACTCCAAGAACACGCTGGAGATTAAATGAATACTTATTTAAAACCAACCAAACAAAAATCCCTGCCAACAACAAGCAAAGATCTTCATGTACAGCTTGTTTCTCCCATAGTGCCTAGAACAGTCTAGCTCTGAAAAAGGTCTGTTAACTGAGTCTGCTTTAGTAATGCTGTTACTCCGCAACAGAAGCGTAAAGTTTTCCCCCCATGAAATACTCAGGCCCAGCCATAATTTAAACTGGAATCTCAGTGGGTTCAACACACTTGCTCTTCTACTGATACTTTGCATAATGACTTGGCCATCAGCTTTCTAAAGAACATCCAGCATCTCTTTGCGAGCATCTTGTGGTTTTACCGAAGCTTCCTGGCTTCTCGGGGGAAAGGATGGGTTATTTCTTATACTCTCTCTTAAATATGACTGTGCAAGTATAACACAGGGAGAGATTTCATTATTTTTGAAAATTTGTTTGTCTTCCTGCTCCTTATGCCCGTACCCTTAACGCTGTGAGGAGGAGGATTGGTGATATAAAGCATGTTTCATCCGCAGCAACTCACGCTGGACTAGGAGCACAAGCTACCCCCCAGTTTGATGAAGTCTCTGTTTCCTTCTCAGCCGCTGGAATACTCAGTCAGTGCTTTGTTCTCTGGAATGCTGGCAGATCACCATGCCCACACTCTACCCCAGGCACACAGGACATGAAAGCTGTTCTGGGCAGCCTCCTTCACCTTGGAAAAGAAGGCAGCCGAGATACTTGTTCTGTAGGCTGAAAGGTAGAAACCTTTTGTGGTTGTACAGCCAGGAAAGCTCCTGTCCCTTTTGCTAACCACAGTTAACCTCCTGAAACAGGAAAGCTGTGTGCGATTTTATAAATACCTGAAGCTGTTGTGTCTGTAGTAGGCGTTTCTTCTGGTGCCTCCTCTGCCCCCACTCTTGACCGGTGGTGAGGAACCCCCGCGCAGCACCTGGGCACTTGCAGAGCTGGCGTGGAGGTTGCCCACTTGTACTGCAGTGAATGATTAACAGCCAACTTCCCTGCAAAGGTGTGGCTCATCTAATCAGAGGCCTTCAGCCTAGTTAAACAGACCTAGTTCAGCTGTTACCCCGACGTATCTGACTCTCCATGGCTTTATCCACTCCTGCACCTGTTCCAGCGCTTGTAAAGGCCCACTGTGTCCTCTGACTGGGGAAAGCTGCTGGTTGTAGGGGAGAGAAGTTGCCTTTGTTTCTGGATCTGTAGTGTGTGTTCCGTTAGGAGACTGCCATGCCTGAGATGAAACTGTGAACAAGACTGCCCTCCAGTCCAGACTTCATCATGATAATTTAGGCCGATAAACTCATTACAGAGCCTTGCGCTGCTGTTAGCTGCAATAAAAGTGACTCCCTGTTGCTTTCCTAACTGCAGGGATGGTGCTGGAGAGAGGTGGGAGGGTGGAAGGACACTGTGGTGTCTGAGGTTGTGTGTTTTTAAAAGGAAACGTGTTTTTCACAAGCCAAGCAAATCACTTTGAACCCAGAGGGGTGATGTCACAGAATCTATTCCATTAGGTCGTCGGTAAAACTTCAGTCACTTCTGGAGAGCCTGGCCTCGCTGTCTTTTTTAGGTTCTTCGGGGAAAGAAATCATTTCAACACTTGGATGATCAGGACTGAAGTAACTGTACTCCCTTGCGGTTCCTCTGGGCTCGCTCGGGCTTTCACAACGTGCACAGAGGGTGGTGTGTGTGAAGCAGTCCTGCCTCAGCCTGTGCTCTTCTGAATCTCCCTCTGCTTTTTGAAATAAAGAGTGCTCGGGGCATTCCGGGCCCCTTCATGTGGGTAAGGATTGAAGCCAAAAACACAAAAGCTTGTGTGGGCGGTGAGCAGGGACCCAGAGACTGGCATGTTTCTAGTCAACAGAAACTGAAGAGCTGCAGTGAGCTGGGGATTTGCTGGGCATCTCTCAGGCCGACCCGACCTGCTGCGTGCCGGAAGGTGGCAGACCCTGCGCGGCCCAGGCGAGCTGGCGGCGTATCTAGACACCAAGCGTAGGAATAGTCCAGCTCAGTACGATGGTACGGGATGGTACAAGGCAGAACGTGGGGCCTGGGAGGTTCAGGCAGGTATGTAGAAATCAGTAAGGAGTCCCCTCTATGTGGTGG